TGGTGCTAAATCGTTTTCGGAAATCGGCTTGTTCGGGAGTCTGTACGTAAACATCACCTAAACAAACTCTCGAAAGCAGCACGTAAACGCGGCTCAGAAGGGTAAATCGGTCTTTAGTCTTGCGTTGTCTCCTTTCTTGAAGGACATGACGACGCATTCTGCTGCATGCCTCCGGAGTAGTGTTACCATGGAGAATGGGATCGAAAAGCTTCTGAAGGACTTTAAATATCTATTTTCCACCCGCTTTCAGAAGCTCCGTTGTAATTTCATCCTCACCCGGGGACTTGTCCTTTCTAAGGTGCTAGAGAGCCATTATTATTATCTAATTTCGCTCAGACTCACGTCCGGGATATATTCGGAATACGAGTAATTTCGGATAATACTTGCTCTTGGATCATTACTTACACTTACGTGTGGCTCCAACAATGACGTCCATATGACTGTCTATAGAACCTCTCAATTTTACTCAAAATCTCAGGTGTTCCCGGAAACGACACTGCCACCTTCAATTAGGTACTCCTGAATAAATATCGTCGTTGGTAGCAGCCCGGCCTAAAGGATCTGGGCTGTGGAACGCGGGACGGCTTGTCAACACTGGCAGTTTAGATGGGGTGGTGCCTTGCCTGATACCTTGTCATACCCTCGCTAGCAAGGTTAATGAACTGTGAGGTTCTTTCAGTCACCAGACTCTGGAGTGGTAGAAGAACCCCAAGTCGGGGATTGATATAAGTTTTATTAAATTGTTTGTAGCAAATAAATGGTTGTTTTTAGAAAGAAAGGATGTTATTGACCCTGCAGCCTTTACAGCTTTTTTTTTTATAGGATAGGGTGACAAACGAGCACACAGTCCACCTGATGGTAAGTGGTTGCTGTGGCCCATAGACATCTACATCTATCCTCGATTACGAATCAAATGCAGATGCTTGTCACCCGTAGGACTAAGATGGAATGCCTCGTTTCCAGTAAAAAGGGTCTCCGGTTCTCTGCACTCACCATACGAAACACAGCAGCATTAAGCTACTATTTTACGCTGGTATTCTGTGAGAGCGTGGTCCTTCCCCGGTCGAGCCGACCCATTCGTGCTACAACTATACTACTAATATAACTGCAGCATGGCTCTACCACGTAAGACGACGTAAGCTTCTACCACGAGCTCGTAAGCTCGACGTAAACTCTACCACGTAAGCTTCATCGAAACATACTCATAACCAAGAATTTACGAGCTATTGTGTGTAACTGTTCGGTCAGTCCCAAGGCACGCCGGTCCCCGATTTTGCCTCAGGAGATGCGGACCTCGGCTTAAACAACTGTCAGAATGATGTAGGTATGGCTGGGCATTGTTGCGGGCTTATGTAGCCACGATCAGAGACTAGTGTTGAATAGTTTACCGATAGCATGAGATAATTATTTTTCTCTTTATTTGGTCTACAAAACTGAAAATAACACACTTTAACTATTTTATAAATGTGTGTTTTCTATTATACATATCAGCATGTTGTAATAATGTTTAGTTTTGTAGACCAAATGAAGAGAAAAGCTTTTTTAACTTTAACTATTTTCGAAATGTGTGTTTTATATTATACCTATCAGCATGTTGTGATTATGTTTAATTTTGTAGACCAAATAAAGAGAAAAAAATAATCTCATGCAATCGATTAATTTTTTTTCTCTTTTACATTTCTTAAATAGTATTCTAATATATATTATCTAAATAGAGTTTGCACAAAATTTGTTTGTAATAATTAAAAATAAAGTTTAGTACTTAAAGTTATATTAATTCTAAACTAAATGCCGAATTAAATTAAGGCTAAATCACACTACAGACTTAGAATCAAGATATCGAAATAATTTGTTTTTTGTTGAGGCCACAGAACCCATGAAAACATCCAAGATTGAACAATGTTACTAGATGAACAGAAACATACAAGTATTCCGGTGTATTGGTATTTACGCCCTTTTTGATTATAATAATAATCATCTGAATAAAATGAAATTCATCATACATACATACATACATATGATAACAAATCCAGAAAGAACGTGAAACAAACTTACGCTATAATCAACACATTCAGTATGATATATGTATAAGATGCAACACGTTAGTCGACCATTCACGTACACGCTATCGGTCTTATTAGCCTGGTGTCATTCGTGAACAAAACCAATTCCTCTTGGCTAAATTCCAGATTTTAAAGTAAGTAAGTAAGTAAGTAAGAATGAGTGTTTAATAGACGTAATGTAATTATGACTATGTGCGTAGTACTTAACTCACCTCAGAAAGAAATCCTACATTACTACATATATATTATAAATTTTACCCCTAGGTATGATTGAAATGTTTAGCTGTCTCTTTAGTTTGTCTCTTTCTCTGTCTTTTTTAGAGCAGGTACAAACAATTTGTTACATTTTATAATAATAATCATCTGAATGAAATGAAATTCAAAAAAATTACTAGTACCTACGTGAATTACCACTAATTAAAAACCTCATTTTTATATAGATAGATATTATCGATAATATCTTATCAAAATGTCATAAATATACGAAGGTACAACTTGCATGCAGCCTCATTCAAATTAGTAATATTTTATTATAAATTTTAAAGTAAGTGTGAAGAGGTAAATAGATAGGAATGTGAAGTGGGGTGACAAAAGAGCACACAGCCATCTGATAGTAAGTGGACGCAGTAGTAGCTTCTTACAAAATATTGAAGTTCGACAAAAACGGTTGAAAATAATAAATGGAGAAGAATGGGTTCTCAGAATAAAATATTTAACTATATGCAGCGAATACTTTGAGGTAAAACGTTTTTCTCGCCCTCCGTACGTTCCATGGGTGTCATAAGAAAAGATAGATAGAAACAAATCAGGAGACGGGATGCTCCTTAATAACGAATAATAAAACTGTGGTTGCGAACCCTCAATGAAGCAATTTATGGGGGAGGCCTATGTTCTGTAGTGGACTTTAATAGGCTGTAACAATAACATAGAGCTACTTTAAGAGAAATGCCAAAACAACGCATTCGTAAAAACTTATTAATAAAATTACATATTGAAGCTTGTTTTATTATTGGAATGAAATAGGTAGCAAAATTGCAATATATCATTAATTACAGCTCATAACATTTTTAAGTTTAATTTATTAATACTTAATTTATATACACATCATAACACTTATATCATTTTTAGGTGAAGTTTCTTTCAGCGAATTTGTAACAAAATTTTTTGACATTTATGTATGTACTATTTGGTGGGACCCCATTTATGTCCGGGAGATCGTCTTAGCAGGTATTATCCTCTTACCTAGTACCGGTATAATTAAAGGCTATAAGGGATTCCATCTCAGTTCGTAGAGGTTATAACGACCTTCTTTGCTTGAAGTTAGCTGCAAGTGTCCACAGGTTGTAGTAGCTACTTATTACCGTCAGATGGATTGTTAGTTCGTTGAATTTTTTTTTTCACAATGTTACTTCAGTTTTATAAAAATAAACTTTAACTAATAAATACTAATACATTTAACATTTTTATAACATTTATTTTCAAAATATCAAGATTCATATTTATTTAATTAGTATTACCATTTAGCGAGATAACGCTACCGTCTTTGCCACAATACCACAGGAAATAGTACTAAAACAACTGAAATTATAATTATATATGTAGTTTAATTTGTATTATATGAATTTTAATGTTTAATTATATGTCTGCAATAAGCCGCCATGTTAGTTCTTTTAATGTAATGGACACAATGCTTTTAAAGATATCTAGATATCTGTATGAGTAGTTTAGAATTTAGAAGATTTGAAGGAACAGATGAACCTCGCGAGTATTAAAAAATATTTGTTATGTGATGTGATCTGCCAATTAGAATTTTTTTATCTACTTATGCTGTGCGATATTGTTTTATGCCATTTTTTTATACCAATTTCAAATCAAGAAGGCACAGATACGTTGTCACCTCTGAGGATTAAGATAAAATGCCTCAAAACTCGTAATTTTATTAGATTTCTATACCCTTCGGGAACACAACAGTGCACGCGATGATAGTTAGCGGGAGAAATAGGTAAGATCGTGCTATGTACCCAGATGGGCTTCCAGGATGAGGAGGGTATTAACAGTTCCTTGTTTCGTTGTTCTTGTTCGTGTAATTTAAAGGATTCCTAAAAGATGGTGATTTTAAAATTTAATGATGCTAGGTCAACGGGAAGTACCCTACAGGTTTTAAGTGACTTTGCGAGAGTCAAAACCTCGTTTGTCAACCCCAAGGAATAAAATGGAAAAAGGGTTTCCGAGTCTCAATACTCACTTTACAAATCACAGCAGCATCAAGCTGCTATATTACGCTAGTATCCTGTGAGAGCGTGCTCCCTCAGTAAAGCTATACTCCTATTCATGCTACAACTATAAAATAACTGCAGCGTGGTTCCACCACGTTTTACGATAGAATAACTCGCAAATTGAAACCTGCCTCTAAGCCTTTAAAAATGAAAAGCAATATTCGATATTAACATTTTTAAAAGTTTATTTTGTAGTTTGCAAATGACACCAGTTACCAGTTTCCACAATTCTCCCATATTATACAATATATTTATAGTTTATAATTTTTTAATTTATCAGATACCCGCTCCTTAAAATGTTCTCCCGCTTCGCCAAGCAAGTAGTAAATTAGCAATCATTTATTTTATTTATTTATAACTTAAATTTAAATGAACATGTTGTTTCACTTAAAATTACAATTAACAAATTCACTGGTGAAGATGGATATTGTAATCGGTTCACTCGAAGCGCTTGGCTCCTGAACTACTACGGGTGGTAGAAATCGTTTTATACCTTGAAGTCTGTTTGGGTAGGGACCACCACCTTTTTTATTTCGTTGTGTGGTCTGAAGGGTATACGAGTATAGAATTATCAGGTGGACTGTAAGTTCTTTGTAACTTTATTTTTGTAAAAAAAAACAAACAAAATATTAAGCCATACAATTCTTAACACATTATGTATTTAATTTATTTTTACATCAATTCCAATAATGTTATGTTCTTTATCTTTACAGTTGGTTTTAATTTTCAGGATGTTTTTCGACTGTTTTATATAGCTCTTGAGATAAAATTTCATGAAGAGAACAAAGAATGAGCAGATGCTAAACAAACAGAAGTAGTGGAAGAAGGCAGGAATCGGACATGGCGTTAACTTTTGCTGGTGGTGCAAATCGAGGACTACTAAAACAAACTGGATCTGAAATTTAATGTTCATGTAAGATTATTTATTATGATGTTAATATATTTAAAATGAAAAAGAGAATCTTTTCAAGGTTACTTGTTTGCTTCATTATCGGCTATGAAATCTATCTAATCTACGCAGATCCAGCCATCTGTAATACGCGTCAAGGAAACGCCAATGTATACAATAGTGTATAGAGTTCGCTGAGGCGCGGTAAGATCGGAGGTGAAATAGAATGTAACAACTCTCTGTATTGCATATATTCGTAGATAGTATTAATTGTATTTTAAAGTGCTAATTTATTTGATCTACTGGACGCAACTTACACCTCGCTTACCAGTACGAGACTGCCCTTTGAAAACCTTTCTTCCCCATTGGTTATCAGTTCTTCGAGCTATATGACCGATCCAGCGTCACTTCAGCCTCCGATCCGTTGGGTTATTTTGGTTATCCTTGTTCTACTGCAGATATCTTATTTATGAATGTTACCACGTCCAGAAACTCCTACCACAGCGCTCTTAATAGCTCGCCGTGTGTAACTGTGACCTTGAGCTTCCTTATACGGTCTGCAGGGCAGATCCATATGCCTAATAAACGAAGAATGACGACTTGCACAAACTGAATGGATGCAGGAAGCTCAGTACTGTGTTTGGTGTACTCCTTTTGGCAGGCCCATGTTCAGCAGTAATTTGTGATGGACTGTAATAATGATGATGATTTATTTAATGATTGCTAAAATTACACATTGTCGGAACATACATATTTAAATGTTATTAATATTATTTCCAGGACAAGAGAAATCCACCAACAGATATTGGAATAGCACAGCGGACTACTAATCACTATTAGCGTTTATGCTCTTTAAATTTACATATACAGGATGTTACTTTATAACTTAAGGAATAGTTCCAACTTTGCGTTAATGATTTTGAGAAATAATAGGAAACTACGTGTAGAAAGAATATTTTTTAAACTGATAATTTTAATTATAATATCATGAACGCAGCACAAATGTCAGTCTGACCGGAAAAGTAACTCGTTGTTAAAGAGTATCAGAGGACTAAGACTAAAGGTTAAGGTTAAGACTTGTATGAAAGTTGCTACATTTCATGGTGAGTGTAGAGAACCAGAGACCGTTTTTAATATTCTCTATTATTTTGGTGTTAGTGCTGTTAGTCTATGCGACTCTTACAGCTTCATCTTGTCTCTAATTAAAAAGAGAAAGGCAATGAGGTGAAAATGATGATGAGATGGTTTATGATTTGATATTGTTACCAATCATCATGTCGCCTTTAAGGCGTTTTTCTTTGAGCTTTCTAACCGCAGTCCGAGGGGGGGGTGTGCAGACCCCCGTCTCTGACTGCTCAGCTCGTGTCGGTGGATGGTCTGGGCGGTGAGAACCGTCCAGGAACGCGGGTGTACGGTGTGTACGCGGTGTGAGCTGGAACGCGTCGTGCCCGTCTGCGGGTGCGACGCGTCCCATTCGTTGTCCTATTTGTGTTTGTCCCATTTAGTGTGGATGTAGTGTCGTTGTGTGATGTGCCTGCGTCGCTTGAGTCGACTGGATCGAGCGATAGAGGTGGTTCTATTAAAACATTTCGCGGTCTACGGAGATAGGGCGCGACGTTTGTTATCGGAACGTAGTTAGCTGCGTTTGTCACTAGCGGGTTAGGGTGGGTTTCTACTCTATCAAAGTAGCGTTGGGACATCTCCTTAAAATATTCGGAGATAGATGGTAGTTCACAATCATTGTGTAAATCAGAGTTCCGTTGATACCACCGTGCACCGGTGGCTTTTCGGATGAAAAAGTTTTGTACTCTTTGGAGTTTTAAAATATGGGTCTTATATGTATGGGCGATAGCTGCACTTGCATAGGACATAACTGGTCTAATGCAGGTTTTGTACAGCCGGAGTTTGTGTCTTAGCGACAGTTTACTCTTGCTGTTAACGAGGGGGTGTAGACGGCCAATTATTGACTTGGCTCTGTTGCGTACTACACTTATGTGCGTCTTGAAACTCATGCGGGAGTCGAAAGTGACGCCTAGGTATTTGGCCGATTTTTCCCAAGGGATTGGGCGGTCGTTTTGGGTTTATAACCTGTAGAATTCCGTTGAAAGTGTACTGCTACACTTTTTTCGGGATTCACGTCAATTCTCCATAGGCGGAACCATTCACCAAGGTGATTGGTCGCCTTTTGGAGCTTTATAGCGAGTCTATTTTGTTGGGGTCTGACACAAAGAGTGCCGTATCGTCGGCAAAGAGAGCGGTGTTCACTACGGGGTCTTTTGAGATATCACTCGTGAAGAGTGTGAAAAGGAGTGGAGATAGTACGGAGCCCTGTGGGACCCCGGCCTTGAGGAAACGTTTCGAAGAACGAGTTTCCTCCACTCGATATCGAAAAGTGCGGTTCGAAAGGAAAGCTCGTATGTGTAAACGAGCCTATCGGGCACGTTTAGTTTGTACAGCTTGTAAATCAAGCCGTCGTGCCAGACCTTGTCAAACGCCTTCGCGACATCGAAGAAGAGGGCTCCGGTGTTTCGAGACTTTTTCCTTAACGGGTTTTGGCTGAAGCCAGACAGAATGTATTCTATTAGGCGATGAATCTGGTGAGTGCATGAGTGATTGGCTCTAAAGCCGAACTGTTCGTCTGGGAGGAGTCCGTTAGCTTCGGTGAAATGACGGAGACGCTTATGAATAATGCACTCGTATAGTTTTCCCAATGTGTTGAGCAGGCTAATGGGTCTGTAGCTAGAGGGACGATTACGCGGTTTACCCGGTTTTGGGATCGCTATTACGTCTGCTTCTTTCCAGATGTCCGGGAAGGAGCAGTTCGTGAGAAAGGTGTTAAATATTCCAACAAGGAGGCAAATAAGTGGCGCCGAAAGGGATTTGATCACCTTGTTGCTGATGCCGTCTGGCCCAGGGGCTGATCTATTTTTAAGACTTTTTATAGTTTCGGTGACTTCGTCTACTGTCACAGGATCGAGTGGTTCACCCGCTGGTGGCAGCGCAGACCTACGTTCTACTTCCGTTTCTACCTCTAATAGGTGAGCGGGATCTATTGGTGCAGTGGATGGCGTGCACTGGTACTCTAGACTGTCTGCTAGGCATTCGGCTTTTTCGAGATCGTCAAGGGCGAGATCGGGGCGGTCCAGCCTCACGAGAGGCGGCATCGGTGCTGATTTGTCGGCTTTAAGAAGTCTCGTTAGTTTCCAGAAGGCGTCTTGGGATGGTTCGATACCTTCTAAGAGGTTATCCCAGTTATCGTTTCTAAACTCGGCTACTCGTTGTTTAATCTCGTTTTGTAGAGGACGTACCCGAAGTTTGTTGGTTTCCGTGCGGTAGCGGTCGTAAGTTTTAAGCGCGGAATTCTTCGCTCTAATCAGCCGTCGAACATCCGCCGTAAGTTTCGTGTATTGATCGCTCGATACACGAACCTTACGGGAGCAATCTTCGACCGCTGATGTGAGGTGAGTCGAAAGGGCGCTAATCGCCCTATCGGCCTCCTCCAGCGAGTCTATCTTGTCAGGTATAGTGTCCAAATTCTGGGAGTTCGTAGACTTAAGTTTGACCTCAAGTTTACGCTAGTCGACAATAGTTTTGGTCTGAGGGACCTCACCTGCCGGCCGGCCCAGTTGTAAAACGACCGGCCTGTGGTCTGAGACTAGCTCGATAATAGTCTCTATCGAATTATTACTAAGTCGGATGTCTTTTAGCAATGCTATATCAAGGACGTCCGGATGTTGGTTGTTTGCAAAAGGATGTTGATGTTGTTGGACTCTCGGGAGCGATAACATCGAAGTTTTAGTCTCTCCGTGAAGTCTCTTAGAATTATTCCGTTAGGATTGTTAACGTTAGAATTCCAGCTAACGTGTTTACTATTTAGGTCTCCTGCGATTAAAACGCTAGGGCCTAGGTTTAATAGAGCCGATATGTCGGAATCTAATATGCTTTTTACGGGAGACAGGTATGCTGATGCAATTATTAATGGCGGATGGCCCGTGAGTGCTATCCTACAGACCGACGCTTCTAAGTTAGTAAGCGGCGGAGTATCTACCGGTGCACATTGCAAGGACCTTTTGTAGTAGATCAAGGTGCCGCTTTTAGGGCCGGTCAGCCTATCATTTCTTACTAGGGTATAATTGGCTATTTTGGGATCGCTCAAACTAGGTTTCAAGAAGGTATCTTGCACTAGCATGATGTCGATATCATGGTTGCGTTTTTAATATTAGCGCATGCAAATATTTCAAATTTGTTTTTTCGAGTCTCTGCCTTTTTAAGAAGTAGTACTTTTGTAAAAAATAATTTAGAATATGTCACCTTGATTTACAATCACCATACAGGGTTGCCAAGTTAGGGCTTTTTCGCCTAAATTTAGGGGGTAAACAAGTGAGATGGGATTTTTAGGAGCTTTACATTTTTAGGGGTATTTTAGGGACATTTATATATTTTTTCCACTTTTCTTAAAATTCGAGTTGTATTTATGTTTTGCATTAATTATTACGGTTGCAATTTCTTGTTATCAAATGTGATGACGAACCGATTCACATTATAACAAAGTAGCGCTTCATTTATAACATTAAATCTAAAACGTTCTTCAATATTCAAATGTATGATTTTTATATGTCGGAACCATCAGAAAAAAACGAAATAATATTTGAAATATTAAATAATTGATTTATAAAGAACATTACAAAGCATTTTACTTATTTTAAGGGATTTCCAAGTAAATAAGGTAAATTTAGGGGTTTTCGACTTAACTCCTATGGGTAAATATTTTTTGGAGTTGGTAACACTGCATCAATCGGAGTCAGGTCAAACGCCACGAAACAATAACGCTTTTGACTCACGAGCGTGTTTCGCTAAGATTCGCAAAATTTCAAAAATCTCAATCTTTTAAATATTGATTGTCCAAACCGTGCCCATACATTCAACTTTTGAAATACTTTAACATTGGATGACTAAATTCTTAAGGACATCACTGGTTTTTTTAACATTTCTGATAAGCTTAAATATTGCGTGTGCCCTCATTGTGAACTGATTTTTTTTTTGTTTTTTTTTTAGGTTATAATACACCTTTCCATTCCAGTAGCTTGAAAACGTCTTCCAATGCAGCGATGAAGAGTTAAGAAGAGTCGGGGATATAACGTAACCCTGTCTTACATCTCTCTGCAGTTGGATAGGTTTCGTACTATAGTTCTGTATTCGGATAGCCATCGTAGCTCTACTGTACAAATACTTCAGCACTTTGATATACCAACAGTCAACTTGCCACCGTTGAATGGACTGTTATTAACTGAGAAGGATACGGTAGTAACATTAATGGCGAATACATCACTTACCTTCGATTTGCCGACGATGTAGTTCTTATAGCAGAATCGTTGAAAGACCTAAGCACTATAGTCATTGACCAATAGTATCTCCCAACGGATAGGCCTTAAGATGAACATGGACAGAATAAAGGTAATGTCCATGTCACACCTATGCCGATAATTGTTGGGAGCACTAAGCTCAAAGTTGTTGACGAGTATATTTACCTGGGACAAATAGTCCGACTAGGTAAGTCTTACTTTAACCGAGAGGTCAATCGATGGATTGAACTCGGCTGGATAGCGTTCGGAAAATTACGATACATCTTCTCGTCAGGTATACATCAAAACCTAAAAATGAGATTGTACAATCAGTGCGTGTTGCCAGTGATGACTTATGGATCTGAGACGTGGTCCTACACTGCCGGCCGTATGAACGAGGACGCTCAAGGTTGCTCAGCGAGTTATGAAGAGAGGTATGCTCGGGGTTTCTCTGCGTGATATACTTAGAAATGAGGATATCTGCAGTAGAACCAGAATGACCGACATAGCCCAACGAAGAACTGACAACCGATGGAGAAAAAAGGTTCTGGAGTGGCAGACTCGTACCGGTAGGCAAAGTGTAGGGCGACCCCCCATTAGATGGTTTGACAACCTGCTAAGACATGCAGAAAATCGATGAATGCAGGTAGCTCAGGAATTTGCTTTGTGACATTCCTTGGGGGAGGCCTATGTTCAGCAGTAGACTTGTGAAGGGCTGTAATGATGATGAAGTACTACTTATTATCCACTTTGCCTTTTTGACTTCTTTTTATTTGTAGTTCAATTGTCGATGTTCTTTTAAAAACAACACATTTAAATAAAGCAAAGTCAGTGTAATTTCTTAATGAGTAAATATCAAAAGGTCAAATCAAAATATCAAATTGTGAAGTGGCGATGTAAGTATACTCACTACCTTATACTGTCCCGTGGGGCGGGTTTTGTAAGAGGCGACGGAAGAAAACAAATCAGGAGATGGCAGCAGCATCTTGAACGTATGTTAAGCAGTAGACTTGTGATGGACCGTAATGAATTCAAATTTCAAATTACATGGAAGTTTGAATTTGAATGTAATGACGTGTGATGATGAATCATGCACCATTTTTATTGTATTAATAATACATACTCGTAATATAATACAGTAACACAAATAGAGATTGCACAATTTGATGATTCTTTATTAGTTTATACTTCAGACGGGATCCTATGAAATGTAACTGTGAAGACGATTTTAAGATTGTGGTATTCCTTAATCTACTCAAAAAGGGGTCAAATAAATAAAAAATAAATTCAACAAGAAATAAAAGCTGACTTCAATGAACTAACACATACAAAAAAAACATTATTTATCGAAGATAGCACTTAGCAAGTGTACGGCAAATCTGATGACTGCTATAATATAGAAGAGAAGTAGAAGGTAAGTACTTACAAGTTGTATTTTCGTCAAATGTTTTTTCCACCAAATAAATTTAGCAAATCGTGGACCCTGCGACGACAATCCATAATATGCGTACATTAGTACATGAACAAAACTGTTAATCAAACCAACAACTACGAAATGGTCCGATGGCTTATACGCATAGTAAAGCCAAGCCCATGTTACCATCACACTATGGTGATAAACATGAAGAAATGTTACTTGGTTTTCCTTCTTCCTTAAAACGAAGAACACCGTATCCAAAAGATCTACATGCTTTGCAAGAAAGTATGGGAAAATGTCTTTTATCACCTAAAAAGAAATCAATATTGAATGAAAAATTAAAAGTACTATAAGTACTAATTAAATCCACTTTAATATTAATAGCTCACCTCCTTTAAAGGCTCTCCTTGGGGACATCTCGTAGGGAATATACCGTGTTTTATTATATACCGCGTGTACTGAAATATATAAAATAGTAATTGTTATAAATTAAACTAGATAATGACTACATAGGGTTATTTTGCAATATAAGTCTAAAGCAGACAAGGTTTAGAATAAGTAATATAGGCGAATGTTGAAGAAAAATTAATTAAAATAAATTTCAAACATTTTGTCCTTTGTAACTCTTAAATTCAGAATTCGTAGTAATGCATTATTTTAACTGATTGTCATTCACAAATATCCAACGCCTACTATTTTACCATTTACTATGGTATATTACATATGATATTTTTTTATTCTTTCTACTTGAAAGTTAGTCGTGTGAACCTTTCGGGTCGCACCCAGACCGCTTTTTAGAAATAGATCTGTTATCAGCACAAAATAATAATAAAAACTACGGTTGTCAATCCGTCAGCCAAATGTGGACACTATATTTATCTTATATCACTATGAGGCCTTTGATCAGTAGTGGGCTTTTGATAGGATATAATGAATGAAACTTGTATATAGATGCAGGTGAATCCTACCTCAGTAGGATAGCTCCATGTCCAGCAGTGGTACACCTGTCAAGTACTCTGGTAAATTTCAATACGTGGTAGAGCCACGCTGCAGCTGTGTTATAGTCAAATGGATCAGCATTTTATGAAGTGTATCATTGATATTGTTCCCTGTTTCTAGTGTATTTTATATTAAGCATATACGAGATGGTATATTGCAATTTATGGGGGCCATGTTATCTTTTTGGCTTTTTTAATAGTTGCATCTTGCAGTAGTACCCACCAACACCCCGAACATTTGTTTAACACGAGCCCACTACATTACATTATAATATGGAAATAGTAGTCTGAAAGTTTTCTATATCTTAACTATTAGTAGTATGAATACGTTTGAGACTCCATAGTAAGTTCATTAGGAGAGTATTGTAAGTAGTCCCAAAGTAGTTTACATGCATGATCTACCTTGTTTGTTCTAGTTTACATGCCTGTTTTTAGTGGTAAATAAAGAAATGACTTTCAATAAGTATTATGAAATAATCTATATTAAATAAAGATCATTCGTTTTATTTTCTTTCAATGTGTGACGGACCTGAGTATATCATGCTCGTCTAAGGGTCTCTGCTTACGACGGTGTCCCATATTGGTTCGTCCACTTCCCTTCTCGTCAACAGATCCTGCTTGTAGAGGCTGGTCCACTCTGGTTAGCTATGCAATGATGAGCTCCAAATGTTAGGATTTTCTTTTGAGTGCATCATAAAACATGCTTTAGTTATCGATGGGTCTATTATAGTTTTATATTTTAACATTAAAAAACACGTCAAAAAAGAGGATACCTGTGGAGCTCCTTTTGCTGTTTCTTCTTCGATCAGAGGAAACTACAAACTTCAGAATGACAATATATTTAAAAAAGTGATATTTTACTAAATATTTTTTTTACGTTGATGTTATAGTTGAAGTAGTGTCTTATCCCCCGCTATTATACTTGGAACACATCTAGGAAGGAGTGGAAACGCCGTATTCAAGGCGCGCCTGTTGCATATTGACCCGTTGTAAAGTCATCAGATGCCCTTGGTCGTGTGTATACCGTCCATGTAACTAATTTTGAATGTTTTTGTTTATGATTGCTGCTGCACCATGTTCGGTGTCCTACAGGATATAAATACCTTAAAACTGTCAACGGTCAGGAATGCGCAACTTATAGAGAAGCATGTGAAGCTCTGCATCTTTTAGAAAACGATAATCACTGGGATGAAACCATGGAGGAAGCTGTGCAATGCCAGTCACCAGCCAAAATTAGGGATCTTTATGCAACTCTCATATCATCTTGCGGGCTATCTAATGCACATGAATTGTGGGACAAATATAAAGAGTACATGGCGGAAGATATTTTACGAAGGTTAAAGCAGACACACGCGAACATGACATACAATGAACACATTTATAATGAAGCACTTGGAAAAATTGAAGATAAAGTAATGGCAATGGTAGGCAAAAAATTAAGCGACTTTGGAATGATAAGCTCTCAGCGAACAACCGAAAATGAAATAAGTGATGAAATTATACGTGAAACAAACTACAATATACCAGCTTTGGAGCAGCAAGTAGCCGAATTTGTACCCCGCTTGCTTCCCGAACAAAAACGAGTTTTTGACAAATTATTAGGACAAATTGAATCTGGAAATGGTGCACTTTTCTTTTTAGATGCCCCTGGAGGAACTGGGAAGACATTTTTGTTAAATTTATTATTAGCGCAAGTACGGAAAGATAAAAACATTGCTGTGGCCGTAGCTTCCTCCGGTATAGCCGCCACGCTGCTAAGCTGGGGCCGCACTGCACATTCTGTTTTAAAACTCCCTCTAAATCTAGCCCAGGAAGAATCGCCGATCTGCAACTTTAGCAAAAATAGTGCACGAGGCATAATGCTACGACAATGCAAACTTTTAGTGTGGGACGAATGTACAATGTCGCATAAAAAAGCTGTAGAAGCACTAAATCGAACGCTCCAGGATTTGCGTAACAATACCGATGTAATGGGAGGAATGGTGGTTTTACTGGCTGGTGACTTTCGCCAAACTTTACCTGTCATTCAAAAGGGCACACATGCAGATGAAATTAAAGCATGCGTCAAGTCGTTTATTTTATGGAACTAGGTACAAAATTCAGTTTAAATACGAATATGAGAGTGCATTTGTATAATATCAATGCTGGAAACTATGCTGACACACTATTAAAAATTGGCGATGGGCGGTTGGAAACGGATGCTGAGGGCTGCGTTAAATTGACGAGAGATTTTTGTAATTTAGTACAGTCATTCCGAATTAATTGCGAGCGTTTATTCAGATTTAACGAACAACATGCATGAAGACAAATGGTTATGTGAAAGGGCGATTCTTGCACCAAAAAATGAGAGCGTTAACAAAATAAATTCAGATATATTAAGCGAAGTAGCAGGAGAAATAACAGAGTATTTGTCAGTAGACACAGTTATGGACACAGAACAGAGCACTTCATATCCCGAAGAGTTTCTCTAGAGTTGTCAGGTGTGCCCTCACATAAGCTTCAATTAAAATTAGGCGTCCCAGTCATGCTAATGCGAAATTTAGATGCTCCTCGTTTACGTAACGGGACAAGGCTGCGTGGGCCACATCTTGAACGGAACATAATCGGTGCTACAATTTTGACAGGCGTCGGAAAAGGTGAAAATGTTATTATACCACGGATCCCTATAATTCCCACAGATCTTCCTTTTCAATTCAAAAGGTTGCAGTTCCATATTAAGCTCAGTTTTGCAATGACAATTAATAAAGCGCAAGGGCAAACGTTACAGGTAGCGGGGGTCAACTTAGAAAAACCGTGCTTCTCTCATGGTCAGCTGTATGTAGCATGTTCGCGTGTGTCAAATGCCCAGAATCTCCACATTCTTTCTCCGAATGGAAAAACATATAACATTGTGTACAGTAGCATCTTAAAATAGTATTCAGTAAGTTTTTTTTTCCAAAATTCCCACAATTAGTTAATCAGAATTCCCACAGATCTTTCCTTTCAATTCAAAATTTTCTATTTAGCTCAGTTTCGTTTCAATTCCAAATGCTGCACCTCTGACGGATCTATTAAGATCAGTTTCCTTTCAACTCAAAAGGCTGCATCTCTGACGGATCTTTTATTTGGCTCAGTTTCCTTTCAATTCAGAAAACTGCATCTCTGACAAATTAATTTAGCTCAGTTTCTTTTCAAAAGTCTGCATCTCTGATGGATAATTATGCTCAGTTTCCTTTAATTAAAAAAATATCCCATTTCGATTTGGAATAAACAGGCTATTTTCATGCTTTCCTATACGCTGCGTTTCAAAACATTTAAATAGGCTGACGAATCAATTTTGCTCAGTTTCCTTTTAATGGCTGCTTTTCTGACAAATCTATAAAACTCAGTTTTCTTTCAATTCAAAAAACAATGGATAGTTTATTTCCCAGTGACCATGCGGGCGAAGCCGCGGGTAATAGCTAGTTATAAATATAGATCTAATATATAAAAGTTAGTGTTTGTTTGTTAGTTCGTATTTTATGCGCTGACACATCGTTTATTACATCGCGTAAAAACTTTGTCAACGTATTGCTTGCACTTGCGCGAAGGTTATATGCATAGTACAATTAACTTGCAGAGGTGGCGCGTGTATCGTACCCGCAAATTAATTAGAAAGTTATATATCATTCAAATTCCATGAATGTATTATCCGTGCAAGTAGTTAATAAGTATTGTAGATAAAATAATGTAATAGTTACTTGTACTTATATTTTAAAGTAATTCCATAAGCTTCGCCAACAAACTTTTAAATATGAAGTTTGTCGAATTTTAATCTATATATTTACACAAATAAATAAAATTGAAATGTCTGTTTGTAATACACAAATACCTATCTTATTACCTTTACGGGGTTATTTGCGTGCCATAAAGATACAAATTACCATTTTTGTCTTCAGAATGGCTTAACCGATTGTGATGAAACGTTACGAACAGATAAAAAGCAATGCTAAAAGGAATCTAGGTTATTTATCCGAATAATTTGATTTTTTATTATATTTTGATATTTAATTATAATAAATTTAAATAATGTACAAGGTTTAAGAATAAATTCAATATTATGTACTTACTATAAAGACAAGATAACTTGAATAAACAACTTGAAAAGTATTATAACATATCAACAACTTGGTTAGTTTGTATGACTGTCGATTCTTCATAAACGCCGGCAATATCTTTAAGACCAAAGTGAGGTAAATGCCAATAGTTATTATATTAGCGGCTAATATTTCTAGAAGACTCCAGGTCTGGAGAGAATCTGAAATTATTGAGCGAAGATTTGAAAATCCATACCTATGTTTTATAATAAGTAGCAATAAGCTGCACATTGAATTTTGAATAGTAATTTTTTTACATAGGTACTTTAATTTTATTCAGTTAAATATTATTGTAAGCAAGAACATTAAACTGTAATAAAACATATTACATAAATAAATTATTCTTCTATGCTTATATATAATACCTATTATAGATAAGTGTACAGCGTCAATATATGCAACAGATCTGATACTTATAGAAGTAACTTAAAAGTTTGTTTAAATACGTGGGACACTCAAAATTTTTTAAAAGATTTTAAAAAGATTTAAGGAATCACTGTACTTACAACCGATACTCCTTCCATTAGTATCTTCCGTGCTAGGCTGCCACCAGGCATCCATTTCGATTATTTGTTGCCGGCAATATTAAATATAACAAAAATATTGTTTTTACAACTATTCCTACATTACGATTAGTGACACGACTAATAGTAGTATTTCTAAGTTGACTCTGGACTGAATTAATAGAATCGTTTACTTTTATTTAAGAACAAACACAAAATATACAAATGTAAAGTGAGTGAGGCAATCGGTTAATCACGGTTTTGTATGCAAATTTTATGTTCCAGTTACCTATTTTTTTGAAATACTGAAATTAATTTGGGGTAGCTCAGGGACTACGCGCTCCTAATAAGTTTAATATAACCCGAGCAACCCGGGTTCGATCCCCGGAAGCGCCAAGGAAAATGTTAAATGTGAAGGAAAAATCGTGAGTAAACTTATATTTCACAGTGGTAGAGCCACACGGCAGCCTTTGCTGTTGCACGTACGGGCCGGCTCGAACCAGGGTGTTACCACAAGCTCATAAAAGACCAGCATGATATAGAAACTCTGCTTCAGAATTTCGTTTTGTGAGTGCAGGTGACCGGAGGCCCATTCCCCCCCCCCCCTCCAACATGTTAGCGGATTTAAAAGGAACACTACCCCAGGAGAGTACCAGTACTTCCGGTGACCCTCGCTGAGCATCCACGCCCAAGTTACCTTACTCTTCCTGAGAGTGGGTGCTCAGACTGCCCCGCTTATTCGGGTGAGGAGTGTGTGTGGTGGGGGGGGGGGCAATTCCGCCCCACTTACGGTTCCCCCGGGACAAAATTTGTGACGAATTTTCGTATAATTAAAACGAGGTCAAGCTTGGTGACTAAGCAATAATATAGTTAAAAGTTATATTATTTCATAATATATCAAGAATTCAACTATAGTGAAAAGTTTCTATGGTTTTCACTGTTTTACCATACGAAAGACAGCAGCATTATGTTGCTATTTGATGCAGGTATTATGTGCGTGCGTGGTTCTTCCCCGGTCGTGCAGAAAATAAAAAATAAGTAAAGACGTGGTAGTTTCATGATTGTTGTCATAATATAATATACATATGGAATGAGATAGAGTAATGAGCTTTCAGGCGCCACCATATCACGGATTTGATATTCTAGAACCGTTCACTTTGTTCTCTTTTTAGTACCCACCCCATACCAAAATCTCGCCTTAAATTAAGGTTTGCAGGTGATGTAATCTTTTCATTTACTATCAAAATGTGAAGCAACATTTGTGCACCTCTATGTTATTTTGCACACAAGTATTTTGTGCTGACTCAAAGCAATGAGGCACATCTTCAACATTGACAATAATATTAAATTTTTACCGGCTACCCCACAATAGATGGAGTGACGACCTGGTAAGACATGCAGGAAGTTGATGGATGCAGGTGGATCAGAACCGTGCTTTGTGGCACCTCTTGGGGGAGGGCTATGTTCAGCAGCGGACTTGTCAGGGCTGTAGGTAATGAATGAAAAATACTAAAACTCAGTTTTACCAACGATGAATTAATGCGGACTATGATGATTTGTATATCGATAAATAATATCGAAATAGCCCTCGCCTAACGTTGCTTACGCATGTAGACAGCGGCACCATTGTACCGACACGTGTACAATTTGATGGTATGCGTAAATGCAATGAACACAAACACAAATACTGTAGTGTGTGTGTATAGTGACGCGATTCAATTTTGCATTTGTAGTGAAGTATACAGTAGTGTGTTTTTCTGACGCCCGCCTGACATTGACAGACTTTTTGTTTAGGAATTAACGCGCATGACCTTCCAAATTCAAATTCAAATTTATTTATTTGTGAATACAGGTAATGAGACAGAATAGATCTTATATGTATAAGTTATATAAATATTTTCGCTGCATTCAACCCCTAGGTATACAAATATTACAGTTACAATTAAATATATTACATTTCCACGATTATTTCATTTTATTACTTATATTATAATTATATGAGAAAAATTCAACAATGATGTAATAATTAATTAGAATGGGATATTTACAATAATATTTGTCTAATCAAAAGTCAAATGAATTATATTTTATGCAATGTCATTATAATATGCCTACTGATGCGTCACTTAAATATTCATCGATTGAGTAGTAGCATTTCTCAATTAGAAATGTTCTAAATTCTTTTTTAAATTTATGAATATTTTCCATTTCATGAAACATAGAAGGAACCTTATTATATATTTTAGATAATATACCGAAAACGTTTTTTCTAAGTAAAGCTGTCCTTGATGAAATTGGATGAATTTTACTTTTACGTCGATTGTTCGTTATTAGGTAATCATTAAATATTTCAGAATTAGTTTTTACAAATGTTACAACTTCATAAATATACATTGCGGGAAATGTCAATAACTTAAATTTTTTAAATTGTGGTTTACAGCTTTCTGTACTCGATATACTTGCAATAGCACGCACACACTTTTTTTGTGCTTTAAATATATCTTCGCGCCTTGTAGCATTGCCCCAAAAAATTATACCGTAGCGTACAGTAGAAGATACGAAGCCGTGATATACCGTCCGTAAAGCATCTTCATTAACTACTTTGGATAATACATGTAAAGCGTATGAAAATTGGTTTAACTTTTTGCAAATATATTCTGTATGAGTCTCCCACTTTAAGTTGTTGTCAATATAAAGACCTAAGAATTTTGCTGCTTTGGTTTCACTAACCGTCTCACCATCGTAATTAATGTTAAGTAAGTCAAGGGGCCATTTCCGTTGATAAAAATTCATTATTTGGGTCTTTTTTAAGTTTATTATAAAATTGTTTGACTTAAGCCAGCTAATTATAATTAATTTCTGTTTCATAATTATTTAAGTCTGTACATGTAAACACCATAGAGCTATCATCTGCAAATAGAGTCATAGGAAAACTCACGCTGTTAGGTAAATAATTAATATATACTAAAAACAATAAAGGACCAAGTACGCTTCCTTGAGGAACACCAAATTTGGGGATCGAGGATAGGACCAATAAATATATTCATTTTTAGTCTTTGGCTAAATCCGTGATACTTGAGTAATTTGAATCCTGTTTGTTAAGTAGGATTTTATAAGATCAAGTGTCTTGCCTCTTACACCGTATTTATTTAATTTTATAATCAACAAGTCATGCCTGACAAAATCGAAAGCCTTCGAAATGTCCATATATAGGGCTGTCACTGGTAGTTTTCTGTCAACATTTGTAAATATTTGGTATAAAAATTCATAAATTGCTACATTAATAGATTTGTTTCTACGAAAGCCTTTTTGTTATTTTGCAAAAATATTGAATTTTTCAAAGTAATTATATAAATTACTTTTTCTATAATTTTTGAAAATATAGAAGTCATAGCAATCGGACGGTAACAGGATAAGTCCTCCCTGTCATCTTTTTTAAATAACGGTTTAATAATGGACGTTTTAAGAACTTCAGGAAATACACCATTTTTAACACATAGGTTTATAATATGACTCATACTGGGGCAATTGTGTTTCCTACGTGTTTTATTACTTTCGTTGAAATGTCATCAAAACCAGTGCTATTTGTGTTTTTTAATAATTTTATTGTTAATAGTATGTCATTAGGTGTAACAAAATTAAATAAAAATGAATTGTATTTATTATGTGTCAAATTATTAGAATATGTCATATTATTTTTGTCATCTATTGCATATACTTGGTCAATGTAATGATCATTAAATGCCTGCGCAATATCTTTTGGATTCGTTATAAATTTATTATTTATTTTATTTCGTGTTATAAAATTTCTACTAAATTCTTTATTATAATTTTTTCTGTAGCTATTAACAATTTTCCAAGTCGTTTTTGTCTTATGAAGTGATAAATTAACAATGTGATTGTTTTGAGTTTTTTGTGTTAATTTAATTATTTTTTTAATCTATTTGAATAAGTCCTAAGCATATTTTTATTGTTTTGATTAGGATCTCTTCTATATTGCCACAAAAGGTAACGCTTACGTTTACAACAAAATTTTATGCCTTTTGTAATCCATTTTTGTTTCGTATTTGTTGAAATTCGTGCTCGAATAACAGGAAAACAAGGATTATAAAATAATTTAAATTCATTATAAAACTTATTAAATGCCTCAATAGATGAGCTACTGGTATAAACATCTGTAAATCTAATTTTATCTATGTAATACTTGAATTTGTTTAAGTTTTCTGTTGAATAATCTCGTCGTTTTTTATACCAATATTTTAATGTGCATGTTGTTTTCACTGGAAAACTTAAATACCTGAGCAGTATGATCAGAAAGTCCTAAATCTAAAATATCACTTCTCCCTTTCCCAACATTGTCTATTATATTATCTATGCAAGTGCCGCTACACATTCTTGTCGGTTTGTCAATTTCCAATTTTAAATTATAACTATTCATTAACAGTGTAAACTGTAAAGAATATTTAATTGTTTTTATTATTTCAATATTAAAGTCGCCACAAATTATTACCTTTTTATTTATTTTGAAACAAATTTGTTTCAGTACTGTATCCATTTTACTAAAGTATATTTCATAGAATTGACTGTTAGTTCTTGGGCTTCTGTAAATGCACATAATAATAGTTTGATGAGCAGTAAGCTCTACAGCACAGCATTCAAAGATATTAGATATAGATAGGTTATTTATGTTATTTAGGGGAATGTATGTATAATTATTCCTAATCAGTATACAACATCCGCCATTACTATTATCTCTTGCATAAAATGAAGCATATGCATAAAATAAGTTCTTTCACGCGGGTTTATATAACAAACATATAGCTGACGTGAAGCACCGACGCTCCAGGAAGTCTGCAGTCTGCGAACATGTTCAAGATCGTCCCCACCATTACATTCGTTTTGATAAACCACAAATTCTCGCAAAAGAACACCGATTCCTACCAAGGATGATACGCGAGGCTATTGAAATTAAAAAACATCCAAATTTCAATAGAGAAGATGGATGGGTGCTGCCACCTGCTTGGGATCCTATAATTAACAAAATTAAACCAAAACCTAAGCATACCACTGCAAGACTTCATGATACTATAAGCTCGTTTTGCGTAAATCGGACAAAAATTAATATTCAAAAACTGAAGGTAGCCGGACTAACTATGACATTGGGACGTCAAACACCTCAGTCCCCCCCCCCCGTGACCATGGTTGCTGTAAAGCACCCGAAACGTCGGGAATTAAAAAATAAGTAAAAGTAGTGAAATAAACGCGATAAAATCTGTAAATTTAGTTTTATTCAATGTGTATGTTCGCGTAAATTTAAGAAATCATAATATCGAAAGATGTACTTATGTTCAAAGAATCTAAGTTGTTATTTTTAGAAATAATACATTCTTCGGTTTGCGTAGATTTATCGAATAATTTGTTAGAATTAATACAATTGTATGAAATTACACGATTGTTTGTTATTTTGTATGCGTTAATTTTTATTTGATATTCATTGCGTAATATCTCTTTTAGCAACGAGCGGCAAACAAAAGTAGAAAAAAATGACTTAAATGGTATAAAACGATCAAAACCCATTTCTACAAATATACAATTTTTATTACGATTACAAATATATCTCAGTTCATAATAAAAATTTTTTTTTCATTTAAAAGTTTGTTATATGGAATTTCGGATATAATTACATTTGTATTTGATAAACAATTTAAATAAACTTCTATATTACACTTAAATTCAAATGGATTTTTGTCATTAATTCCCCCCATAATTATGACGTAATCTTTACTTGTGAGTGACAACAATTCCTGTTTAAATGAGGATAATAGATCATACATCTTCGCACCTGGTTTCCATAGACAAGTGACTAAAAATTCATCTCCGATAAGGTTTTGAAGGCAGTGACGAACTCCTCGACCCTGTTGATCTGCGATGATAAATATTTTTCTTTTAGTGCTGTATGTTGGAATCATGGAACTTATTCCATTCTTTACTATTATTTTTGTTTGAAATTGCGAAGGCGTCAGGTCTGTGGTGCACATGGAATGATTCTCGGTGTACTCTTTGGCTTCTTTTTTTGTTGTGGAGCATATTACATTACCCTGTAGTTTTTTTTTATTTTATATTTTGGTTTAATTTTTCTAATTTTGTTTTCAAGATTAATTACTTGTGTAATACTTTTCTTAGGGGATATGGAATTTGTTTTCGTGGGAGTTTTATCCATAGATATAAAGTTTTTAATTTTTATTATGACCGGAGAAGACATTACTGAATTTTCAGAAATACCAATTTTTTTCATTAAACTTAGAGTATTTTCTCTTTGGGCTAGAGTTTTTTAGGGTCTATGTTTTCTAGAGATAATCGCTCCACTTCTTCGTTAGCAGATTCCAGTAATAATTTTTGTTTATTAATTTGAAGTTGTAAGTTTTTTGTGTAGTCATTTTCCGTAATGGAAGTGTTTGGTAAACTTAGCATAGATGTGTCGAAAGGATTCGAATAATTTATATTGCATTCATCTATAATTATTGAAAGATCTGTAACTGATTTCGATTTGTGTTTTCGTAAAGTGATATTTGTTTTTTCCATTATTATTGTCTCTTTAATTGCATTAAAATTACAAATCACTATAATTAACAAAATAATTTCAGATCAGTAGTGACATCTGTTGTAGGCCATACTAGTGTTTTATTACCTGTCAATATATGCAGGTCAGTAGTACCATTAAATTTTTAAAGGTGGCGCTACTTCCAAGTTTTTTAAAAATAAAAAACGGTCTGTATTTAATATTAAATTTGTTGAAATTGTAGTTGATCCGATTATTCCACACTTCACTATATATCGTTTTGTATCAGAGCACCGTGAGTCTGAATACACGTTCACAATCACTTGAGATATCTTAAATTTATCTGGATTAGTCACTGTTACAATTATTTTTATTTAGCAGTATTTTTGTTTATTATACACTACGAATACCTTGAATAAAACTGGTGCCGTTAATTAGTGTGTTTATGGTTACTTTATTACACTAATCACTGTTTAAAACTTATAAAGACTGTTAAAATAAATTAAAATAATAAGAGCTCATACAGAACACTGTTTATTCAACTACCGCCCCCTGACAAGAGAGTAGTTTTATACGCATCTGCCTCCAGTTTGTTTAATACTCCAAGCTTTCTCCACTCTTTTTCCATATACATTTTAACTATGCCAAATTCCACACTCACAATAGTGCACTGTGTGCTCGTTTGTCACCTTAATCTTATAAAAAAAAAAACTATTGGGTAAAGGAATTCGTCCTGTAGTGTTGTAAGAGACGACCATTGGAAATAACAGAAAGATTAGTTAATGATTACGCTAAAAGACTATACAATTTAATTTAGGCTAGACGTAAAAATACTTAGACCGACGACGAGAGCAGCGTCAGGTGCAAGACGTCTGGTACCATAATTATCAATCCGCCAAGCGTGATGACTAAAAGAAATCCTCCTTATCAAGGCAAAGTTTTATTTTACAAGCAAACGAAGAAGGATAAAGTAAAAGAAAATTAATGATTACATTGATAGCTATTTTAGTCTACAGATGAAAACACATGAGCTATTAAATTCATTTATAATAAATCTTACCTTTTAAATAATGTAGAAAAGGTAAATTTATTCTTCTTTGGTAGATCGCCCTGTCTTAAATACTCAGAGTTTGGATTTAGGAATTTATATAAAGCTTCACTTTGGTTTAAACGGTCATCTTCTAGCACGAACTATAAAAACAATCAAAATTGTTATTCATATTAAATATGTTATATTCACATTTTACTCCTATGGTACTTACTTTCAGATACTTCTGAAGCAATGTTTTAGCCTTTTCCAAAGAGTTTCTATCGTTTTTTCAGAAAAGAAACTTGAATGTATTAGAAGATAGTTCCAAATTTTTTAGCTCTGAATACATCAGCCTTAGTTTTCTGTGTAAATCCTATAAATTACGAAAAATATATCAGAATTATATTCTTTTAGTAAGATTCAGAAATATAGTCAGAAAATAGATTCAGTGTGTTAAAATCTCCATCGGCATTGTAGTCTTCTAGATATTAATGCAACCTGACACATGCTTAAATGGGTCAATAGTGAACTTAAAACGTGATTTCATTTTAGATTTCTATACAACAAAGATATCAATGTCAAAACTAGGACAACATGGCACTGTAAAGATCCATTCATGATTTGGTCTTAGGCATCTTAAAAGTCGAGAAATACGAGTATATTCCGTTATCTCCCAGCTAGACATACGATCAACACTGAGGTGTTAGTACTTAGTAGCAACAAGCAACAGTGAGGCATTTGCGATACCAAATGCAGTACTAAACGCCTCACACCGTCTACATTGAAAAAGTTATCTTAAACGTCCCTTCATGATAGATTTTTTTTATTAAAGAAAAATATCTAATGAAAAAAGTTGTTGAGTAGTATCAGTTAGTCATTTAGTTTTGTTATATTTGACGTATAAAAATCTACTGTTTCATGTCAAGATAGGACCTTAAAAGTAATAAGTTATTTTACTTTCCTAAATAACACATACCACATCTAAGATTACTGTCTTTCTTTGTAGATTTTTCCACGGTCTTACGGCACCCACGGGACGATGTGAGGTAATGGATTCTCTTCTTTTACTTCTTCACCTCTTATAATTATCCTAGTCTATTTATGATACAAATAGTCTAGGTAAGGAGATATTTTTTATTGTGTTAATGATGAGTGTTGATTTAATATTTCATCGGAAAATTGTGTTGAATAACATTGCTATTAAAATTGTGCAGGCGCTTTTTTTTAAATTACTAGCCGGTTGTAGCCCAGGCAATAAAATTATGTTGTACTCGAGAACGAGTTGGATTCCCAGCGTTACAATGACAAAGTCCATTATAATTTTATTAACTGTTCATTTATCATGTGACCAACAGTGAAGAAAGGCTGCAGAAGAATTGAAAAAATATTGGATATGAAAAGTTCAACATGTATTGGGGCAGCTCTGCAGATTCCTGCTCCAAAATCATCAGGAATGCATACATTTTTATAATCTACTTAGAAATCAAAAGGGGAAATCCCACTGTTCATAGATACTTCGGCCATGGGTGCCCACATATAAAAGCATATGGACATAATAGTATGCAATTAAAAGAATGAAATAGTTAAGGAATTGGTTTAAAAGTCGGGATTTTTAAGATATAAAAGTTTTTATTTTCACAAATACAGTTTTTAACACTGCTTTTACCGATTTTATCGCTTTTAATTTCTTTAATTTCTAATTTCTAGAAACATTTCGCTTGCTTTCCAGCACCTATGGTCACGAGGGACTGAGGTGAATGATGTTCTAGTCAGTATTAAGAGGATAGAGTAAGTCAGTTCAAATTCTAATTTCACCCCCACTTGCCCTGTGTCTAACGACCCTTATAATGTAAGTAGAAAGGTCGTTAGACACTTATTTCATTAGGTTTATCATATTTATGCCTGTTTCTTAACGCCAAGCCAGCTGCTTCTTATTTTTATCACGGTTATTTCCCATTTTAATTTAACGTCGTACTGTTGCGTAATGTATATTCTGATCGTAAGCGACACAACTTCTCCCTTCAAAAGCCTAAGCGATACTAACGGGGCGACAGGAATTAAGCTTACGCGCAGATAGTTTAGGTAATTTCTTTTTTACAGTGAAAATAATGGTATTTTAAAAAAAGTAAACAACATAAGCACTGCTTTATAGTTAGTTCAGTTAGTATGCAAAGTTTCATGATCTTATTTAAAGTATTTTATGAATAACAGCGATTTATTGTTTATTTTGGAGGTAACTTTGGATTTTTTTTCTATCGAGAAAATTTTACGAAATCGTGTTTTCGTCTAACATAATCATTAACATTAATCCTCAACTTTACCATATATTTTATTTCAAAATTAATGCTGCAATATTTTCGGCATAACGAAGGATCTTGCTAAGCCATTTGACATTATATTTCCCCTTAACATAGATTTCCTTCAGCTTTTATTTATTATTTATGGTCCAATCTACGCAGAATGAACTTACTGTGTCTTGAAGTCTTGCAGTGATATGCTTGGGTTTTAATTTTAATTTTATTAGTTACAGGGTCCCAAGAAAGTGGTAGTACCCAGCTTCTTTCTCTATTGAAATTATGATATTTTTTTAATTTTAATAGCCTCATGTATCATCCTTGGTAGGAATCAAAGTTCTTTCGCGAGGATTTGCTGCCTATCAAATGTGATGTATGTCTATCTGGTTGGGGCCGTCTAGAATATGATCACAAACTGCAGACTTCCCGGAACATTTATGCTTCACGTCAGCTATATGTTCTTTAAGGCAGGTTTTAATAGATTTTTTTATTTGCCCTATATATGAGAGACCACATTCACAATTAAGCTTGTACACTCCTGGATCTTGTAGAGGAATATGACACTTGACGTATGTAAAGACTGACTAATCTTCTTCTGCGGCTTGTAAAATGTTCTAATAGAAGCTCGCTACAAGATGTAACCAATCTTGTCTGTGAAACCCCTGACATACGGTAGTCAGCAAGCACACGCTCGACTGTGGCCAGCTTCACTCAGTCACTGTGATGTAGATGCGGGACCCGAAGCTTGTTGTCATGCAGAACCTGCGTGACATGCTGAAGCTCCGCAGCCAGGTGTTTGCTGTCACAGATCCCTCGTGCTCTCTGTAACTAAGATTTGTTCACGGTAACTAACTGTGAAGGATGATGGTGAGACTCACTATTTAAGTTTTGGTTTGTATGGGTCTTTTTTCTATACACAGTGTGACCTATGGTGTTGTTAGGATTTCGGATGACTAAAACATCCAGGAAAGCTAAGGAATTATTTGCCTCTAATATAATATCATAATCACTGAATGGAATTCAGCGCAAAAATTAAACATTTCACGGGCCATTTTCATGAGCCGCTCTAATTGGTTCTTGGCACTTGCAATAATGTAATGCAAATAATCTCCTGTTCTTACGTTCATCGAATATACAGCATGTGCAAATCAACCCCTGTTTACTTGACAGTCTGGCAACTTCAGACAGAATATGTTGGTATTGTGCCTGTGATAAGCCTAGACAATAATGTAAAGTATGCTCAGGCATACTGTGATTTTTTTCAAAGTCTATATGATGGTGCATATTATCTTTCAATATTGTAGCAGTCTTCAATTTGTGCTGCACTAAATGTTTTAATAGGATTATATATTGATTCTAAAAGTAAATCCCATGAATTATTATTTAAATGGTAGATATAGATTCTACATTCTGGAGGTACATAGTAATTGTATTTGCAAAAAGACGTACCCGGAATGCGGATGGAATAGTGAGTCGATTGGAATCATTACAACCAGGAAAAAACATTGAATTTATGTTAGTGGTGCTCTTACATAAGTAGGCAGCAGTATATTGTGTGATGTATGATCTAAGCTTTCTTGTTCTGGGTGCATTCGTTACTCACTTCAGATTGCAACAAGGATTGACTAGATGATTCAGTTGGTTCCCATTCTGTAGTTGAATGTGATGCTGCTCTCTATCAGTCCTTCACCACCAATTATGACACACACAAGATGACGATGGCAACTGAAATAATATTAAATACAAAAAATTAAGACAAAGAGAACAAAATAAAAATAAAATAGATTTGTTTACTTTAGACTCAAATATAAATAAAATATTTATCAATTTGAATGTTACTGCACAAAGGTGGACTTAATGATCTATATTATTTAATAATTAAGGTCTGACAGACTACCAGTAGTCCAAAACGAATTAAAAATCAACTGTCTCATTTCTTGGTCTCGTTAACACCTGATGTTAGCTAGCTAATCTTATCGCCATATAAATAAGCTAGTATATTTGTTAGGTATATGTAGCTTGTGCAGATGTGAAAATTAAAACAACTTCTTAATTTGATATGCAGAGTAAAAATATGTATCAATATCGGATATCAGCACTACACTTAATAAATTAAAAACTGTTGAACACTTACCTCAATTTATAATAATATACTTGCAATCTGATGGGCAATCTCATTGCTTATGAGTTCTTGAGTATTTGATTCCAGGCTGCAGTCCAACATGAGTGGCACACTACACTTTACATGTAATGTCTTCGTGTTTTCGTGATATTAAACCACACATACACATATTACACAGCGTAAATGTTGCTTAAATAATAAATTCACAAAATAAAAAACAAACATAATAACACAATTGTAACTATTTAGTTGTGAATTCTCTAGTAATCTATGTTGTTTGTTGTGATCCAGTAAATATCTTCCGTATATATTACTATACTCTTTGGTAAATATATTCTGTTCTGTGGTTGTGATTGTTGCTGTTGTTTTTATTATTCACTCAAGAGAACAGGCAAAAGAACTAAGCTATACAGTCTTATCTTTTTTTTTTAATTTGAATATATAGAATTTTGAAGTATAAAGGCCAAAACCAATTCTTATTTTTCTTCTTTCCATCTCTTCAAGTCGATAAAGGCTGAAGCCAAGTTTTATTTTCTTTAATTCTTCATATTTTAAAAAACCACAAAGGCAGCCAAGTCTATATCTCTATATAATCTTTATAAGTTTCAATCCATACAGATTTATCAGTCCAGTTTCAAGGTTCCCGCGTTATTTTTTTCTTCACAATATGCTGATGCGTCACATTGCGAAGCCCTTGGGAGATTTTGACGACAGCTCAACCCAGCGGACAGTTGATGACGACAGCCACTCAAGTTCATAAGGCGCCTAAGCGATCAAAATAACTTGAGGTTTATATCGACATCAAAGCACTTGTTTCGTTGGTTTTTCTAATAGTTCACACACGCAGACAATTAATTCACAAAATCACATCACTTTTACGTATTAAAATCCACTTCAAACTATTATTCAAGCGACAAAACAGGAGCGACAGTCCGTCGTCGGCCAAGTTCCCGCCAAAACTCTGTTTGTTGTAAAAATAATAATGGGAGTTGATCATCTTAGTTAGGTATTTACTTTTATATATTTAGAAAATATTAATATCACAAATAGTTATTTTAATAATATAATTTTATCAAACACATAACGCCCTCATTAGCAATGTAATGGTGAAAGAATTTTCAAAATCCGTCAAGTACTTTTCGAGGTTAGCCAAAATAAACGTATTTACAGAAAGTAGCGGCCTCTATAATAAAATGCATCCTACATTCTACATCTATAATTATACATAAAATTCTAGTGGTGAAAGAATTTTCAAAATAGATGGAGTACTTTACGACTTTATCTAAAAAAACATACGAGTATTCGTTGATAGTAGCGTCTTCTATAAAAAAATGCATCCTACGTTTCACAGTCATAATAGAAAATGGTGATATTTTTTTTTAAATCGTTATAGATATATATCTATACTTCGAATGATATTAACAATAATATTAAAACTTTTTATAATATAAAATACAAAAAATTGATATTGTATATGACAAATTTCACACCCAAACAGCTATTTTTCAGCTTCTGTAAACAGCTGTCGAGATACAGTATGAACAGCCAGGAAGACATGACACAACCCTGTTTTACGCCCGCTTGGACGCTAAACATGGGTGACAGGTCATGCCCTACCTGCACACAGGCTTTACAGTCATAGTAAAGTGACTGCACAGCCCTTAACAATCGACCATCCACACCATATCCCGGCAACAGTTCCCACATTTTCTTCCTTATAACCTTATCAAATGCTTTCTCCAGATCCACAAAAGCACAGAAAATCCTCTGGTTAACACTCAGAAGCTTCTCCGTGATCATGCGGAGAGAAAACATTTGATCCGTGCATCCTCTTCCAGGTCTAAATCCGCATTGTGCCTCCCATAAGAATCTTTCCGATTTCTCTTGCATCCTACGTGTCAAAACCTTCGAGTAAACTTTACTTGCTAAACTGGTCAAGCTGATCGCCCGATAGCACCCGCAGTCAAAACGTGAACCTTTACCTTTATATAAAGGCACAATGACCGCGGATCGCCAATCATCCGCGACATCTCCCGTCCACCAGCACAAATTGCACAGCAGATGGAAGCTGTCCCAGACGCGAGGCCCACCGTACTTGACCATTTCAGCAGTAACTCTGTCTAGTCCCGCAGCCTTACCACATTTCAAACTTCGAATCGCACGTTCAATCTCTTTCATGCTGATGACCTCAGTGTCATCGAGGTCCGTGTCTGGCGTGCCAGTCACGGCGTCACCCCCGGATCCTTCACTAAGATCATGACACGCATACATTTCTCTATAAAATTCGCTCCATCGCTGCATGACGTCCGATTTTTTGAGAGGACGTCATTGGTTCTCGAAAGCACTTTGTTCATTCTTAAGGCTGTCGCACCACTCCGGGACCTTCCAACCTCTTTCCAGAAGAGTTTGGAGTTTTCCCTAAAGTTGTGCGACAACCTCTCGTCCGCTTCTATTCTACATCTTTCACGTACTTCCTCAACCAATGTTTTCGCATGAACTTTCTGCAGCTTATATCTTTCTTTCATCTTCTCTCTCATATGCTCATCGTTACTAGAGGCCAAGTAGTCTAACCATGCTTTTTTCTTCTTTTTTTACAGCTTCTCTCACTTCATCATTCCACCATGCATCTCTTCTTTTACTACTACCTCTTTTTGTCGTACCACATACTTCTTCCGCTGCACTTACCATTCCAACCCTAAGGTTCTGCCATGTTCTCTCCACACATTCTTTCCTGCCATCGATGGTGTCAAGCTTTTCGGCTACCCTCGTGTGATATTTGTCCTTAGTATCCGCTTCCTGAAGCTTCCAGCTTCGGATGCGACAGACCGACTGTGGTTCTGTTACTGCCGTCCGGTAGCGCCAACCCGCGAACAAGCCCCTAAATCTAGTAATTACTAGATAATGATCCGTTCCCAGGTCAGCACCCCTGAACACTCGTGTATCCATCACCTGTTTTCGCAGTCGGTCATCCACCAGGAACAAATCAATCATACTTCTCTCATTCTTTCTTTCTCTAGTATACATATGGATTTTCCTGTGATTAAACATAGTGGTTGTCACAAGAAGACCCTTTTCCTTGCATACAGCCAGTATAAGCTTGCCAGCATCATTAACCCTTTTATCGCCAAACTTTCCAAGCACCGACTCGTATCCTGGTCGAGCGATACCTACCCATCCATTCAAATCACCACATACAACAGTTCTTTCGTTTCCCTTAACCAAATCTAGAACTTCTCTTACATTCTCCCAAAACTCCTCCAGCTCAGCCCTGGACGACGAAGCTACCGGCGCATAAACAGCCAAAAGGAATAACTTCGTCAGTCCCATTTTGAAGCGAGCCCAGAGAAGTCTTGAGTTCACAACCTTGTATTCAGTCATAAGATCGACCAACCGGGACGACAACAGCACTCCCACTCCCTGCCAGGCGTTCTCGCTTTCCGGGACTCCGGACCATATAGCTAACGTCCCGCCAAGGGAGCTCTTCAGTACCACTGCCTTTCCGTTTGGTCTCCGACATACACACGACATCTAATTCTCTTTCTTTCATTATTTCGATCAACTCATTCGTCTTATCTCTCATGCCCCCTCTAACTCTGCTCTCCGTCCTCCACCTTCCGCCGTGTCGGGCTGTGCGTGACGGATGGCGGTCCCCATCGCCGCTTTGCGCGCTGCATTCCACACCAACGGGGACGAGCTGGTGTGCGTCGCCTTGGGGGGACGCCCTAATCCTCGTTTGCATGGGTGCGCAGCTGTGTAGAATTGCAGCCCTGAAAAGGGCTGGCAGGGGTCGCGATCAGCACGCTTCTACAATGACCCCCTATATAGACAGTTTAAAAAGGAAATTGAAGCTGTAATGGATAAAAGTTAAATTAGTAGCTAAATTATCATTTAATTTTAATATTACACATTACTTTGACTTAACTTCACTTTAGTTTTATTAGTAATATGTGTTATGTAATAGACTAAAATTATGTATGTTTCCCTTGAAGATAAAACAAAAAAGTTACGGATAGCGGAAGTTTAAAAGTAGAAGAAAATAGTTGCAGCCATTCCTGACGAAGCAACTGCTATCGCTATCTTCCCCGATTGTCGTATCTTAGCAAGTATTAAATGGGGAGTGCGAACTTCGAGAGAGACGTCAACACGGATGGTTGCTGAACACAGACCACCCAGCCTACGAGACATGAAACCATTACGATTCACTAAGTAAATTAGTCTGTCAAGGTTAGAAGAAAGAAAGGTATATAATAATAATAATAATAATAATAATAAGCCAGCTGGGACCTTTGCGAGACGGACTCAATTCTTTTTGGCGCCGCACTGGCAGTATGCCGTATTATTGGCGCCAAACTTCCCGTGGCTGGACGTGCCACTCAAAAAAGTAGCGCCATCCCAGCCTGGAGAAAAAGAATTGAGGACCGTATCGCAAAGGCAAGGGCCCTTATCGGCAGACTAACAAGCTTCAGGTCGGGTAATAATAGACCGAGAGTTGTGCGCACCATTAGAATGGCGTTTGCTGGGACAAATTTTAGTTTGTCCCAGCCGGATATAACGCAAAAACTAACGGAGCGCATAGATGACCTGAAGCAAAAAATCGCTGCTTGGGGGAAGCGGATTCGACGATGTAGCGAGAGGTCAAGGCAGTTCAACCAGAATCTTCTCTTCCAGAGTAATCAGAAGAGGCTCTATAAATCATTGGAGCGACCAGAGGTATGTGGAGCGGGCCCAGGACGGGATCAGGCTGACACTGTTGCATTTTGGCGTGGCCTGTGGTCAGAGCCCGTAAACCACAGCAAGGGCCCTTGGATGGAAGTTGCGGCGAGCCAGAGTGCAAGTGTTATGCCTATGGACCCCGTCACCATAACGCCTGAAGACGTGGCTGAGGCGGTCCGTAGGGCCCCGAACTGGAAAAGTCCGGGGCTCGACGGGCTGCATCATTACTAGCTGAAGGGGTTCGTAGTGTGTCACGCTGTGCTCGCCCGACAGTTTCAAGAGGCTCTCGATCAGAAGTCGCTCCCGAGCCTCTTCACTACTGGGATCACTCATTTGGTTCCTAAAGATCAGGATACCACAGACCCGAGCAAATACCGCCCCATCACGTGTCTACCCACCATATATAAGACTGACTGACACTGACATCTATTTTGAGCGCGAGAATCACTCGTCACCTGGAGCTAAATCAGATGATGTCACGCGCTCAAAATGGATGTCGGGGCGGTGGTCGTGGAACCAAGGAACCACTCCTCATTGACGCGGTCATTGGCAAAGTGGTGAAACGCAACCGTCGGAATTTCTCCGCCGCCTGGATAGACTACAGAAAGGCATTCGATTCGGTGCCCCATACATGGCTAAAGAGAGTCCTCCAACTGTACAAAATTGACTGTACAGTTGGAGACTTCCTCGAGCAGTGTATGGGGCAATGGAGTACGATCCTTTGCTATCTGGGCGAGCGGATGATGGCTGCGGAGTACCATATAAGGATAAGAAGGGGTATCTTCCAGGGCGATTGTCTGAGTCCAATCTGGTTTTGCCTCTCTCTGAACCCTCTCAGTACTTTACTAGAGGGCTCCGGGAGGGGATTTCAGCTTCGGAAAGGAGGTACAAAAGTGACCCACCTTTTCATTATGGATGACCTCAAGTTATTCGCCTCCAGTCGCTCCCATCTTGTGGAATTGCTAAACATCACTTGTTAATTTAGCAATTCTATTGGAATGGAGCTGGGAACGGATAAGTGTGCGGTCCTCCATGTAGAAACCCTCTCCTGCTAACTCTGAGGGCATAGACTTATCTATGCCCGTCAACTTAAGGTGACTCTAGTCGACATTATTTCCATAGAAATTTCGGAGGGGTTTTACTCCGCTGTTTGACAGTGTACATCCAAAGTTAAACATGATATCGTTTTGTCTCATTATTAATTTTGTCTGTACCGAAACAGAATAGTAAAATAAAAAGTCAGTAAAAAGTTACGAGCTACCAAAGATTCGTTTTTATTGACAATTTTAACACAACTTATGGCGTAAATTAGTAATAAAAGCAGTGTAAAATTTCGAAAACAAAGTCGGTATCGACACAGCTCAATTATCGAAGAATTCAATAAATTTTATTGGTAATTGATTCATGCAGTGATTTTTTCGTAAAACCCCTCCTTCCAAAGGCCTTTTCGTGTTTTTTACGCGCGCGTGTTTATATGAATTATCGTGCATCTCACTGAATAATATTTCCCCCGGTGCGGTGCGGGAGGACGACACTTACACACACATGCATGCGCGGTGACGCGCGCTTATTCTAGTTTTATTCGACTCAGTCAGCCTCAGCCTTATTATACTCTTTGGCCTCAGCTGCGGCCTGTGACGTTCGTATGACTATAGCTATACCTGCGCTCTAAATTACTACGCTACATTGACCCCTGCTTGAACTTTGGAATAAATCAATTGATATAAGCACAGACAAAAATAGAGGAATATATAAATAAAATTTTGAAAAAAAAAAACGATCTCAAAATTTTATTAATGTTCCGCTAATTTTATCTGTACTTACCTATGTCAATTTGATTTACATTCGATTATAATTATATTCTCAGACGTGCAGGTTTCCTCAATATGTTTTCCTTCACCGCCGAGCACGTGGTAAATCAGCACAATTGCAATTAACAATTTCATTGGTACCGGCGGGGATCGAACTCGGGTCTGCATGTCTGAGAAATTAAAAAATATATATTTCGAAGAAATGTGAAGTTCGTCAACACGCATTGAGGCAGCGTGGCGGTCATTTCCTTGCCCTAAAACCCTTCAGAAATTAGAGAGCCAAAGGGGGCGTATATAGGCTTTTATAAATATGTTATTTTACCGACGAAAATTTTAAAGAAAAATAAAAAATAAGCAACCGACAACCTCCTAGGTCCCTAGGTGACTTGCAAGATGTCAGTGTTACAAAACAAAACGGCCCAGAAAAACAGACTTTCCAACTGATAGCTAAATCAGCACGCAACAATTTCATTGGTGCCAGTGGGGATCGAACCCGGGTTGCTCCCGTACTGTGATACCTATAACGAGCGCTAACCATGTGGGCTACCACGGCTCTCAACGACGTCGTTCCGTTCGTGTACAGCGCTGAAGATAGCAGAGTAAAAAATTAGAGATTGTGGTGTTTGAAATTTGTCATCTGTGAGAGTGAATTTTATCTGTGTACTCTGTAACAAATAACTATATAGAAAAAAATCTGAAAATGATATTTCGCCATTTTTTTTTGTGTACTGGTTAGGAACTCGATCAAAAATTTGATAATTTTTCTGTTTTTATACGTTATTTATAATGTTATTTTACATCAAATTAATTGTGAAGATATTTTCTTTAGGAAGTACGTTTCATTACGACGATTCAAAAACGTTTACATATAATAATTTACCTCGAAATTCACTATACGAGATTATCGTTTATTGATTATATTATGTTGTTTAAAAAGTATTCCTATCAGCTTTGTGTTAAATGGATGCTAAACATAAAAGAATGCTTCAATATTGATAGCAATTTATAAACGAAATATCTGTTGAGATGTGTCTAGAAATTATTAATACTTATATTTATTTATTTATTAAAATAATAAATAAATAAAAATAAGTATACATTTATCTATATTGAGTACTAGTTTTTCCCCGCGATCTCGCCCGCGTGGAATATGGATTTCATGGGTTTTAATTTTTTTGCGCGGAACCCTAATTCTTTTTCTAAAACAAAAGTAGTTCAAGTTATTCCTTATATCATCAGCTATCTGCCAGTGAAAGTCCCGTCAAAATAGATCCAGCTGTTTCGGAGATTAGCTGGAACAAACAGACAGACAGACAGACCGACAGACAGACAAAAATAGTACTTTCAATATGCATTTAATAAAAAGCTGTTATTTTAACATTACAAACAGACACTTAAATTTTATTTATTTGTAGATATAGATATAAGATATTATTCATATTGGTGTCATTTTAAAGGGAATATCATGTACTATTATAATAATAAAATAATTGTCTCCAGTAAATATTATACTTTTCTTGTAAAACTCGAAATAAGTAGCAAATAAATACGTTTTATTTTTATATTCCCATATGCTTTATTTTCATCCTTTATTTTTTATTTGACCAATTTTCTTTTAACAAAATTAAATTCTGAATTCGTTGAGCTTTTTGAGAATATTTTTATTTGAATGTTAGGTAGGTACCTATTTAGTTTTTCGGTAGTAATCGTTTTTGTTGCGACAGTCTCGCGCGTTCGTAGAAAAAAGTTACTGCGCGGACAGGTGGGACGAGAATCACTTGCGCGGTGTGGACGGTGGATAGGTAGTGTACCTACTGTTATTACCTAGATACCCACAACCTATACAACAAAATTTGGCAAACTGTCGCTGCGTCGTGGAAACTAAAATCTAAACTGCCTACCTACCTGCCTAAGTACGTCGGTACTAAGGAAACAGTCTTGACGGGTCACTTGTCTTGATAAAAACATGTGTTTACATCTAGTGATATTGTGTGTATATAAAACACAATAAGAAGACAGGTAAGTATTTTTGAAGACAATTTGTAAGTAGGCAGAACTAATTACAATTATTATCTAAATATTATAAATGCGAAAGTTTGGACGGATAGATGTATGTTACTCAATCACAGCTGAAGGGATCTGGATGATATTTAGCTCAGAGATAGGTTGGATACCTGGTCTGGAATAACACATTTGATACCGTTTATTCAGGTGTTTCGTTCCTGTGGGATAATTTTCGAGTTCACGCGTTTGAAGCCGCTGGCAACAGCTAGTACGGATATAAACTGCGATGACTGTTCCAGTTCATGCTTCGGCGTCGTGAACTCTTGAGTGATCGCTGCATGACCACCCGGGGGAAAACAAAACATAATAAAATAAGCAATCTATATTAGGTATCTATAGAGCCATAGAGGCATAGTATAAAGCGATAACGCAGCACCTAATAATTTAGTACGAGTTTGTAGGTAGGTACTGCTGATTTCTCAGCAAGCGTCGAGCGGCACAGAATAGGGTGGTATGTATGTGTGCATCGTGTTCGTGTAACTTCGTTTTTGTTCTAACGGTTCGGAACGCCGTACGAACAAAACGTGCATTCTAACTGCTCTTCACTGATACTATCTCTGTCGGGCACGATGCCAGGTGAGACAACGTGCTTTTTGGCCGCGCCCACCAATGAGTTCGAGCCCGCGACTTGTGCCACCTTAAGGACCCTTTCCGAGGCTGAAACATACCGATACCTGGGTATGTCACAGAACATCGGTATCGATGAGGCTGGTATGAAACAGTCAGTTTGCGACGTGTTTTATGCACGCTCGACCAAAGTGCTTAACAGCCTTTTGTCCGTTGTGAATAAGACACACGCATATAACGGTTGGGTTATGCCTGTCCTCATGTATACCTTTGGCATACTCAGGTGGACCCAGACTGAACTTAACGCTCTGGATAGAAAAGTCCGCACTACAATGACGTCCCATAGGATGCATCCGAGATCGTCGGTAATGAAGCTGTACTTGCCGCGAAAGCATGGTGGGCGTGGTTTTCTGAGCGCGCTCACCATGCATAATCGCAAACTGTGCAGCCTCCGTAATTACTTCCTGGCGAGATCGGATGATCTATTCTATAATGACGTCATTTCTAGTGAGAAAGGGCTTACCCCTCTATCCTTAGCCAACGAGCAATGGCAGGACCCAGCAGTGCTTAGCATTTCTGACCGGGAGACCGTATGGAAGGAGAAGGAGCTCCACGGGAGGTACTACAGGGCTCTACATGAGCCCTTCGTAGATACAGTCGCCTCCCTCAACTGGCTACGTTTCGGTGACCTCTTCGGGGAAACCGAGAGTTTTGTCTGTGCAATACAAGATCAGGTTATTAAGACCAACAACTATCGGAGATACATCCTAAAGGATGGCACCGTCGACA